CAATAAAACCAAGATGCTAAAAAATAAAGGTTGCCATAAAGTTTTGATTTATTGTAATGCTCAGTTATGTGTTTAGTAATTAAAATTTTTAATTAGCTTATTATGAAGAAACATACCTACTCTATTATAAACCTCAGTGTTAATATCTTCTGAAGACTTTTTTGCCTTTGAGGCAGTTCATTGTTGCAGAAAAAGATCTGGTTGGAACTCAGGAGATCTAGGTTCTAGTAGTCCCCATTCTTACTTTACCCAATTTTGTGATATTTCATTATAGGTTCATACAATTATAGATGAACAAGGCCTTAAAGATCATCTTGTTTAACCCACTGTGTTACATATGAGTAAACTGAGGCCAAGTAGTATTAAATGACATTATCTTTCTAGGCCCCAGATTGGTTTATTTTATGGAGTAGGACTATCTGATCTTTAAGGATATTCTCATCTTAAGATTATATTTCTGCCATGGTCTGAGCCCTAAGTATAGTATATTAAATACAATTTAATTTTTTAAAAACAATTGAGGATACTCTTGTCCTTTTAGTCATCCAAGTGCACAATCACGGAGGCATTCTCAACCTTTCTCTCTTCTTCATTTTCTGTATGCAGCCACTTGCCAAGTCACGTCAACTGTACTGAAAAACATCTCTTACGTCGATCCTCTCCTCTTTATTAACATGCCACCACCCTAGTTCAGGCTGTCATCATTCCTTTGTCTGGACTATTGAAAACACTGAATGATTGGTCTCCTTGCTTATGATTTTTCCTTTCTCCAAACCATGCTTTTCCTAAACCGCAGACTTGACCATGTGATTTTTCCTGCTCAGGAAACTTTAAAGGCTCCCTCCAGTCTCAGAATAAGATAAACCCTTCAGTTTGGCGTGAAAATAAAGCCTTTTCCCACCTTGTGGCAGCCTGTTTTTCCAGACTTATTTAACATCACTGCCCTTCACAATCTGTCACACAGTAGTCAAATTGCTCAATTTGTAATTCTCTGAAACTGGCTTTCCATTTTCTGTTTCCTGGCCTTTGCATAGGCTGTTTCCTGTGCCCAGAATGTACTTTCCTCAGCTCCATCTCAGAATCTTTAGCTTCCTTCAAGGCTCATCACAAGCACTACCTTTTCCATAGTTGATGGTATCCTCTGCCTTCTCAAATTATATTGTATTTACTTACTTGTGTAAATTTTTCATTCCTAAGAGATTGTAAATTCTTTGAGGTCAGGAACTATTGTTTTATTTCTCCATCTCCCTAATCTAGTGTAATGCCTTGTACCCAGTAGGTACATATTAATAGTTAACTTTCTGTTTTGCAAAGTGATTTGTGTATATTAACTGATTTGATAAATGCTTGTTGAAAGAAGGAAATTCCTGGAAACTCCCATCCCCCATCCTCTTCTTAAAAGCAAATTCTCTTCAAACAGGGGTTGATCAGGATTTTCTTCTTTTATTCATTTAATAAGCACACTGAATTTTCACTGCTTGAGAAATAGGTTTGTTGTATCCAACATGGCATTTATAAAATTTACTTTTTCTCTGTCCAAATTAACAAGGTTTTTGCTAAGCTATTATTTTGTGCAAATCATAGTATACCTATAAGGAAAACCATTACCTTTATGTAAACCCAAAATTTAAAACTTTGTCTCTGACATGGCCACCATGCAAACCTCAGGATTAGGGCACAATTTTCTAGAGCACAGACCATCACATATTCTTCTACTGACTCATCATATATATCTTGAAAGCTCTTATTAAGTGAGAGTCATTTTAAAAAGTAGCACATAAAGACCACTCTTCTTTATATTCCCGTAAGTGTAAGCAAGAAGGAAAAATACAAATAAAATAGTTAAAACTGGAAGAGGTTGAGTTGGATTGCTCAGGGGATCGGTAATGGAATATCCAAACCCTTTGCTTTCTAGGTCAGTAATTTGAATCTAGCCCGGGTCAATAGTGTCCAAAAATCATTATTATTTCACAGCTGTTCTGTAGTCTCTGTGAAATGAGCTTTTGGTCCCAGTCCAGTTTTCAGAAGGCAGGTGTCTGTGGCATAATCTGTCCCCCTCCCTTATAGCTTGCATTGGCCCCCTTGTTAGCAATCTCAGCCAACCCCCCCCAAAAAAAAAAAAACAGAGATTAAATGGCCATTGAAATTGAGTTAGTCTCTCCCTCAGACCAGGACTGAATCAGAGCTGAAAAACAGGATTGGTAGGAAAGGAAGATTTTTTTTTCCTTCCCTGTTCTATATTGTGTACATAGAGAGAGGAATTTAGTCTACCAGGATGTCATTTTTTTTTGTTGTCAGGCTCTTACAACATTTTGAAAAGAAAAGGATTCCAGAGAAGCTTACCAAGAATTGCTAGAGGTGCTGTTCTCCATCTGACATATATCAACTGGGGATTGAAATGCTGTGGCCAAGTTATAACCTCTTGAATGCACAGATTCATCATCAAAGCACTCCCAGTAACTGCTGAAATGCAGCTTCAGTGGGCAGTCCACTCCAAGTGAGGAGTATGAAATGTGAGATTTCCCTTTTTGTTTGGTGATAGACCATATTGTGGTCACTTCTGAAAAATCTAATAAATGAAGAAGTAGAAAAAGAGACTTTCACTCTTCACAGCAATTTCACTCCGTGTATTATTAGGCTGCCCTACTGCAAAACTACCAACTGAAACTAATCTCACTAATGAGGTTCATTTGTTCTTTGACAAAGCAATAAATAGTTTCCTCAAGAAAAACTTAACTAATAGTGTAGTTACAGCCTTCTAATTAATTTTCTTCCCCTAGCCTTGCAAGCATGAAAACAAACAGTGAATTTTTCATTTGTTCATCTCTTTAGAACAACTGTTTAGCAGAGATATGCTTGATTAATGGATTTAATTTGTTCCTTTCTTCTGTAGTCAGTTTTCATATTACATTGGTTATCGGAGGACAGGACAGTAATGTGGGCATTTACATTGTACTGTGCTCCATCAGTGTCAGGGCGGGATTCTAGCTCTGGGTCTGCATCTTTAACCTTTGTAGTCCTGCAGAATCTTTCATCAATCTGTATTACAGTCACCTTGGGAAGAAAAGGCAGAAGCACTCAGTCAGCATTTACAGGTAGTAAAGTGTGTCATTATTTCTAACAAAATGCTGGCAGCAGTGCACGTTTCATTTCCAGCTGAAATATGATTTGTGAGATCAGCATCCCAACTGTTAAAAGACAGAAAATGTGCAGTACTATTCTGGTCACTACAAGGCCCTCTATAAAAACCAGCACAGAATACCTGGTGTTTCCCTGTATGCTGAGCACTTAAAATGACTGGAGCTGGCCCTCTAAATTGAATATAACTGTCAGGTAATCAAAGCCACTATGTATAGGTCAAGTGGCATCATAAAAACTTATTGGAAAATTTAATAATGCTGTCCATTTCATAGCCTGCAAAATGACTGTGTTTCAAACCTTGAGTTCACTTGATGTTTTAGTGTAACTTAAGTAGCCATAAACTCACTTGAGGTTGTTTCTATTATTCTTTTAGACATGTATCTGATATAAGCTTTGAGGTAATAGCGAAGTTATTGAGAAAGAGACATCAGGAATTGACCGCTTAGACAATTTGCGTCAAAAATTTCTTTTTTTTTTTAAATAAAAATATATGTGATTCAAGTCATTTTGACATGTTCCCTAGACAGAATAATCACCCTATTTCCTTGTGTTCCTTAGTTAATATAAAAAAAGAAACATCATTCTCCCCTTCCCCATTGAAATACATATTCACACCCAGATGTTAGCTAAAAATATTTAACACAAAGTTTAAAAATTATTGACCAGAAGTCTAGCCCTGTTTCCTCATGATGAAGAGCCAGTCATTCCAAAAACCTTCAACTTAATGAATTTAGAAGTAACTTTTATTCCTTCTATACAAACACTTCTTAGTATAACATGAAAGATCATAATATTAATAAAATTACTGTAAAATGAATCATATTTAAGTAAAACATCTGAGATAAGGGCATTTTTTATTATACACTGACAATTTATAACTTAAATATTCATGTCGGTCACAAATATTACTCATTTTTATTTTTTTAAATTAACAATCATTTATTATCTCTCCCTCCTCACTTCTTTCACTCCACTAAAAAAGGAAAGAAATATAAAATCTTTGTACAAAAATGCATAATCAGGCAGAGCAAATTCTCATTTTGGGCATATCCATAAATATGCATCTTATTCTACATATTTAATCCATAAGCTCTTTGGGAGGAGGTAGATGGCATTCTTCAGAATTTAAAAAGAGAAAAGAAAAATAAAGAGAATTGGTGTGAGGTTGTAATAAAATCTGAAGATATTCAACCCAGGATTTGATTCTCATTGCTATGTATGCTCTATATACTCAGTACATTTAATTGGCTGTTAGTGCTAATGTGGATATTTTTAGTATGTCTTTCAGATTTTAAAGTTGGGAACTATTTTCAGAAAGGGGTCAAGAATTAATTCCTTAGGAAAATTATCCTAGGTTCTAATAGCCTAATATTATTAATGGATTAATTTCATATATAGTTTCTAAAATAAATCAGTGATCTATATGTAGCAACAAACCAAACCAAACCACATAACTCCCTAAGTTCAGTTCTAACTGCAATTTTCAGACTTTTTTATTCAAAATAATCTTGTACTCTTAGTGATATAATGCAATCCTATACGTGTGTATATGTATGCACGTACATATATGTATGTGCAGAGGCACACATGTATTATATTGTGAGGCAGCATGGCATAATAATTAGAGGGCCTACTTTGGAGTCAGGAAAACCTAGGTTTAAGGCCTATCTGCCTTAATGCTTCAGGCAATTTTCTTAAGACTATTAGTTGCATAATAGTTGTAGTTCCGCATTGGAAGAGGGAGTTGCCTCATTCAAAATTTCCTGCACCAGTGAAATCAGAGGTCTGACCTGCCAAAAATATATTATGCAAATATAATGGTTCTTTCATAAGCAAGGGCCTTTACTTGCACAGTTTTTGTTAATATCCTGAGGCAAGGAATTAATTTTGGGACTGGTAGGGACTTGGATAACTTGTGAAAAAGAAGCTGAACTCCAAGAAAGAGAGGGGAAGATAGAGGGAAGAGGATAAGAAGGAGGGAAGAGAAGAGAGGTAAGAAAGAGTTGGAAGGAGGAAAAGGGGAGAGAGAAAGGAGTAACATGGGGAGAGGGATCACATGCCAAGCCTCTCACCTAACCCAGGCTCCAGTCTTTATTCTTAGGAAATGTATGATAACTCAACATCCAGTAGATTATTTGTGTCAAAGCTAATCCTCAGGTCTGCACAGATGTTACACTTAGCACCAGTAAGTTAAACAGTCTAGTCTAGATGAGTTCAAAAGTCCTTTATAAATCTCAGATAAAAATTTAAAGGTCCAAAGAGGAACAGTTCTGATTAAGAGAAAAAGGGGGAATTATCTAAAGAAATCTACGCAGTGTTAGGGGAACTCACTAACCGACTAAGATTTGTAAAAGATAAGTATAAAGTATAGAATCAAGAACAAGTGCACAGGATAAGTAAGCTCTGTTGGGGCAGAGAGGAGGCTGGAAAAAGAAATAGCATTAATTCTTGGGGTGTGTAGCATGAGGATAATTGATGACAGTGATGACATAGGGGCTCAATTCTTATTCAGCTTCTTTGTTTATGCATATATGGGTATATAGATGTATTTCTAACCAGGAAGAATGACCTTTTATTTCAAAAGAGCCAAATAAAAATAACCAAGAGGGAGTTGATATCCAGGATAAATCAGGAGATAATAACAGAGCATTTATCTACCTTTGACAAGTTCAAGACAGATGGTTTAGAAAAAAAAATTCTAGGATTGGGAAAGAAATGGAAGGCAGGATTGCTGAATGGAAAATAGAAGAGATGCCTCGGAATAGGAAAAGGACAAATATAACTATATTTAATCAAAGGAATGGAATAGAATATGTAATACAACAGTCTGGAAAATTTGATTGCAATAGCTAGAAAAGCTTTAGAACATGTTATTAAAGTAATGATGAACATTTGTGGAAGTGATGATCACAAAGAGTCAGCACGGTTTTAAGAACAGACCCTGCCAGACTATTTCCTTCTCACAGGATTACTAAATTGGTATGAAAGAAACATGTATAGATATAGTTTACCTAGATTTTAAAAAAGTATTTGATGATGTTTTTCATTGTTATTCCTGTCTAAAAACTAGAGATTTGTGTGCCAGATGATAATATAATTAGATGGATTTGTAACTGCTTGGATAGCTAGACTGAAAATCATTACTGATCTGATGTCATCTGCTGTCATTCGGTCTTACCAGTGTAGAAACAAAGACTCTTCTGTGTTCCTCTACCTGGTAGTCAATCTGCACAAAACTGGAATGCATCTTAGTGCTAAACTGCAAATATCTGAAAGTGAATACCTGAAGTATGCCTTATCCTTCTGTGACCAACCCAGGACAACTCTAGAGCTCTATTGATTACTGCTTTGGCTATCAGGTAAAACTACAGACTAGATATGAAGTCTTCGGCCTCCTAATTATCAAGCCTTTGTCTTTCTACTTTTTCCAGCGATTCATAAATCAACGTTGCCTTTACTGTTGCCAGAAGTGTGACAGTTTACTGCCTTATGTTTCTATTCGGTATTCTTGTTCTTCAGAGGCCAAGGCTTCCCTCCCTGGTCTCCCTGCTTTCTCATATCCATTTATGTCAACTCCTTCCCTTTTGTGTTTCTACCTGACTATTCTTTATTTTTCCATTGCGCCCTTTGGACCTCTTGTTCTGTTGCTACTAAGCTGTCCTTCATATCAATCCTAGGACTTTTTCCAAAAATTATTTTGTATTTACTTAGATGCGTGCACACTATCTTCCAATATATGAGTTCTTAATTTGTTTTTGTTTGTCGCAGACCTATTTAACAGTCTTGTGAGGCCTATGGACCTTTTTCAGAACAATGTTCCTAAACAAATAAAATAAAATATATAGGATTACAAAACAAATTAGTTACATTGAAACGCAGTTATCAAAGTATTTAAAAAAACAAAACAAAACAAATTCAGGGCCTCCAGGTTAAAAACATCCACTTCAATAGCATTCGAGCTCTTGGAGAACAGGACTATTTCATTTTGTGTTTATATCCCCAGTGTCTAGAATAGTGCCTGCAATATAATAGATATTTAATAAATACTGGCTAAATTGAATTGAGCTTGGAAGGAGTTCTGTAGTCAAGTACTGCCTGACATTTTTATCAGTCACTTGAATAGAAATATAATTGGCACTCATCAAATTTACCAGTGTCACAAAACTGGAAAGGAGAATTGTTATAACACACTAAATGACAGAAATGAAATTCAAAAAAGCTCTTGACAGTCTAGAACATTGCCCTCCAAAGAGGCAGCCAGGGCACCATATGGGAACATTGCCTTACCCCAAATAGGCTGTGGTAGAAGCAACATCTGCTAAGCCCTGAACTACTAGAAATATCAACTGAGACTGGAAAGTTGTTGCTATGTTTGCTAAGCTAGTTTTGTTTTTTCCTTAAAAAGGCAACAAAATCCTGCTTTAATAATAATGTTAACAATAATGACTAGCATTTATATGGCACCTGCTATGTGCCAGAGACTGTGCTGAGAGCTTTAAAATATTATCTCATCAAACATAGGTATCATCTGTGATACCATGTAATCGTGATGTAAATTTTCTTTTATAAGATGTTAAATGATCTTTGATAATTTCATTTCATTCCTATGCTGAACCTAAACCATTGGAGTATCCTTGAAACTTGTTCCGGGGAACTAAGTACTCCTAAGGCTTTCCCTGCTATTGTGGCAGTCAACATACCTCACTAGGAGTATTTCTACATGGAGATGAAGAGATTTGCATCTAACTGCACTGATGTTGTATCTTTGTTGAATGTTCTTCCCATGTGTGATAAGACCAGCATTTCCCTGACGTAAATTATTTCTTCCCATTCACACATGTAGAAGCCTTACCTTAAAGAAGACTAAACTGCCCACGGGTCCTGACTATTGGTGTTTAAGTATTTATTAACTGCCTACTATATGTCAAGCATTTTACAAATGCTAAGAGCTTTGTAAATTTTATATATCTATATCTACATAAATATAATTTTTTCTTCATAACAACCCCGAAAGTAAATGTTACTATTATATCTATTTTACAGATGAAGAAACTGAGGTAGACAGGGGTTAAGTGACTTTCCCAGGATCACACAGCTAGTAAGTGTCTGAGGCCAAATTTGAACTCAGATCTTCCTGATTCAAAGTCCTGGACTTTATTCACTCCACTACCCAGTTAACTGGCTTCCCTGATTCACCTTTCTGGGCATAAGAAGTCCCAGCCATGAGGAATCTTGACTTCTCAGATTTGGTGGATTTCTGAAGATCAAATAAGTTAACAAATATTTTACCACTTACTGTCCTAATGACGAGAATTATTTCCATGTGGACACTAAGAGTCTGTTTTCAGAAAACTAAGTACCATTGTGTCCTTGTTGCATATCTTTGGTGTTTTAGGGCAAAGTAAAACATTTTTTTAACCATTCAGTGACATATGTGTTCCATTTCATTCCAATATTAAGCCTGAAATAAGAGAGTACTGGCATTAGAGCTGTTCCTCAGATACCATGTAATTCTGATGTTAAATGATCTGTGATCAACTCATTTCATTCCAGACTTGAGCTCAAACCACCTGACTGCCTTAATTAGCTTTGGACCAGAATAGGAGCCATGACTTGACTCCAAAAGATATGTGATCAACTGGTCAGAAGGTGGGAATATGAGTCATGTCCCATCTGCCCCATGTTAGTAAATCAAAGAGATTGTCTTCAACACAATCACATCTACACATACTAATGCTCTTCCACTTCATGTTAGCTTTCCTATATAATCGACAACTTCCCACCTTTTGTCAGGGATATTGGAGAGAGGATTCAGTACTAGTAAGGCCTGAATTAAATTATTTCTGAAGATTCTTCCAACTTGGATAATCTGTGACTTGACAGTTACAATTAGGTATCTCATTATCTGATATTTAAGTTTGATGGACAGGAAAAAGAAATTCAGAAAAACCCAGTTTTGAATTTATTTTTTGTGGTTGTTACAGGAAACTTTTCACTGTCTAGATATTAGATATTCTTCCATTTATTAAATCAGTTAGAAGTAAAGGGAGCACCTGTTAGGGCAAAAGGCAGTTTTTGTTCTATAGCTGCTAGTTGAATTTTTAATTCTAAGTATCCCTCTAGCCATACAAGAATGTGGATGTCTTTGCCACATCACCTGTTATCTTGAAATACATGAAGCAGGGAAATGCAGAGTAATAACAAACCTTTGTAAATCAGTAGTGGGAATACAGCTTTTTTTCCCTCCCGGATATACAAATCCACCACACAAAGGAAGATTGTAATTGGATAAGCCCTGGGCTGTTGAGCATTCAATTTGTCACATAGATGTAAAGTGAGGTTACCACTGAGGATGAAGGGAATTTACTTGCTACTAGCCTACAAAGTATGGAGGATTTAATTAGTTGCAGAGAAGGCAATATTCTTTTTCCTGGCTCATTAAAAGTTCAAAATTCTTTAAGTATTAACAACTAGGAAACACAAGGAAAAAGAATCAGCTATAAATAAATCTGAAATAAAGAAAATATTGGTACATTAAGTTAAAATCAGAGTAATGAATTCATGACAGGGTGATTCATATTTTGATCCTTTGTTTTATAGCGGTACATTCATGAAGAGGAATATTTGAGTCTTGTGATTTTTCTGCATGCCAGTTGTTGAGAAGAGATGAAAGAATTTGAAAATATTCCAGCAGACAGCCCTGGAACACCCTTAAAACCTTTCTACTGGCTGGCTCCACTCAGAGGAGTGTCCCCAAAGTGTACTTAATATTCCCATCCACTTGGTCTGAGCCTCCATCAGTTTTGTTTAAGGTCTCTATAAGACAAGATTAAGGAGGATATTTTTATGTGGTCTTGGCCTGTAATTTCATAGCTACATGGAATTCCAGATAAGAAAATCCCCTTTAACCAAAGCAGACCAGCAGCTGTTCTGCAATTGGTAGTGCTGAAAACTTCCTGAAGTCCTCAGAGGTTACATGAATGAATAAGGCATTCATTAAGTGATTACCATGTGTAAAGCACTAAGCTACATTCTAGATATATTAGTGTGTGTGTGTGTGTGTGTGTGTGTGTGTGTGTATATATATTTAAGTAAGGTATACATTTCTAATAAGGCATTCCTTCTCTCAAGGAGTTCACATTCTAATGGAAGACACAACATATATGTAAAGTTTTGGCTGCAAGTTATATTGAAAGGTCCCATAGTCCTTAGTGTGCAGTAGCAAAGTAGATGGTACCACCTCTTCTTCATTAATGTCATTTCCATTAATAAATCATATGAGTTTCTGATGTTGAATCAATTGAGTGCCAAGAACTTTGATGATAAATTTTTATTTTTAGGGTCTTCAATTGATGTGGCTGTAGCACCAATAAGGCATAATTGCCAAGCTGTATCTCTATAGGTGTAGCTTCCCAGGATGACAGCTATGGGCACTGGATTGGGAATACAATTGTTCCAGAATTTTAGGTTCAGGGTACTAGGATGCCTCTATCAGATTCCAAGAGAAAGGTGATATTGTCAAGGTGGTGATGATGAATTGATTTGCCTGGCACTTGCTGCCTCTTTTCTCTCCTTCCGTATGCCCTGCTCCTTCAGCTAGACTGGCATGCCTTCCCTTACAGTGATGATTGGTGGGCATGGCTAGCCCCTTGTTCACAGGAGTTGCATTCCTTAATGATAGCTGTGAGGGATTGACTAGAAGTAAGACCTTGGTGTAAGGGGGGGTGGAGTACTGCATTCCTAGAGCTCTTGTGCTCTCCACTCTATTGGTGATAGTATGGTTTGCCAAGGGTCATTTTTAGATACTCATCGGTAGTTTTCTATCCACTATACCATTATGCCTTTTAACAAGGAGAAAAGCATGTCCCAAATGAGCCATTAAATGCCTATCATCTGGGAATTTTTAGTAGCATACAGTGACATCTTATAAAAGAGAGATCTATAGTCTGGGGCAAATATAGCTCCATAATTACTTAATATCAATTAATTAGCAGATATATTTTTTAAAACTCACATGTGCAAATACTTTGGGGGATTCTTTGCCCTTAAGGAGCTCATGGTCTAGATATGGATAGAATAGAGAGTGCACTAGTGATTTCATTGGGAACTCCCAAATGAGAAAACTCTGTCAATGAACTTCTCTCAAACTTCTGGTATTTGAGAGTTGTCTAGAGCAGCAAAAGATTAAGTGACTTGCCAGTGGTCCCTAGCCATTGCATATTACAATGGAAGAAAAATTTAATTAAAAAAAAACAGCTCTAAAATCAGATTTTGAAGATGTCAAAATGGTAGAATATTTTTTGACTTTGAAATATACTTGATGTTTTGGTATTTATTATCCAGACCAGCAATAGAAAGG